GAACCCCCGGCAAGTGTTATTAATATGTAATGCAAACTAAATTGACGACAAGTTTTAGTATTAGCTCTCCCTTGTACATAGCAATCTTCTCCTGTGTTGGGGCTTAGGGTGGGCATGGGTTGGATTGGGTCCATTTTTGTCTCAACCCAAACCTAACCTAACATGATCGGTTTGATCAAAATTTAATCCAATCCAACACGCGTAAAGGTTGAAACTCAACCCAACCCAATCAAGTATCGGTCGAGTTGGGTTGAGTTGGTCGATTTGGGACAACTTGCCAACAAAAATTAAAATCATTCAATTTTCTATTATACTAAATTGAAAATTTGAAGAAACTAAATAGTAAGTAAATAAATAAATAAAATTATCGATTATCTTATTCAATCATCATAAGCCGAGTCTACAAATAACAAATGCATTTAACATAAACATTTCTTGTGGAAATCACATTAAGCTCATCCTCTAAAATGCACCAAGGTAATTACAGTTATGTACACTATCCACTCATACTTTTTAGGTTCCTTTTACTCTCTCTCTCTCTCTTTTTTTCTTTTAAAGTAGGCAGGTTGGGTTGGGCGAGTTTATTCGATTTTTATAAGTTAACCCATAACTTGACCAAATCCAACCCAACCCAACCCGCCTACACAACCAATCCACCCAACCCGTGTAAAAACAACAAAAAATCGACCCAAACCGATTGTGTTGGTTCGGTTTGAGCGGTTTTAACCGGTTCGGTCGGGTTTTGCCCACCCTTAGGGCATTCTTTAGCATGGTTGCTAACTTCATCTAACCATATTACTTATCACTAACATTTTAAAATTCAATGATAACAACTAAACACTAGGATTGTACATCAATCTTTGTATAAAATTGAGATTGCAACTAGCCACCTTGTAGGTAGTCATCTATTTTGAATGTTATGCAATATTACTATTCATATCTCTCCCATTTGAAAAAGGTAATTAGGTCTAAACTCTTATTTTGTCACCTTGATTTGGAGGGATAATTACTTGATTGATGACTGAACTTTGCATAAGGTTTTTAGGGGGTCATTGAATTTCAAAAGTTTCCCCTCTAATCGTCGAACTTTACAAAATATATTCTCATCCATCACTCAGTGATATTCTAGAAGCCTTTCGCAAAATTTAGTAACAAATCAGATAATTTATCAATCTTTATTATTTTTTTTTTTTAGTTTTTTCCTTTCCTTTTTCCGTTGCCTCTTTGATTTTAGAGAGATCATCAAATAACCAATGGATAAAAAACTATTTCTTTCTCTAAGTTCGATGATATTAGAGAGAATAAAATTGTGGGGTAGGAGTACAAAAAAGACAGAAAAAGACTAAAAAAAACTATAAAAAATGATTAATTACATGATTGATCACTGAACTTCAAAAGCTTCTATATTAGACACTAAAGTTTACAAAATGTAATCTCATCCATCACTCATCCATC